GTCAGGGCTCCGAGCCCACCCGGGTGCCCAGTGCTCTGGACTCCGAGTGACACCAGGTCGCCCGGCCTTGGTGCTCTCCGTTGAGTCCCTGTAACAGTCCTGCTCCACGTGCTCTTGTTCCTTCATTGCCCGCTTTGGGCTGGTTTTTAAAAACCCTGTCTCTCACCCAGACCGGTGTGGCTCAGTGGTTCCCAGTCGGGTCACTCCCCTGGGTGGCAGGCCAGCTCTCTGGTTGGGGGCGTGCAAGAGGCAGCCGATCGATGTTTCTTTTCCTCTCACTCTCTCTCCCTTCCTCTCTCTCTAAAAGTAAATCATTAACATCTCTTAAAAATCCTAATTCTCCTTTCACTGGGTTAGTGACGGCACGCTCGTGTAGTTGTGTGAGTGGCAGAGACCGCTCAGTGCACCCACGACCTTGGAAACCTAAGATGCAGGGCTCTCGGTGGGTACAGCCCCATGGTGCACCCCCCCCCACCCCCCCGGTCTGAGACACAGGCTGTCGTTTCTCTGTGTCGCCTCCCCAGTCACCTGAGCCTGGCAGGACAGTGCTGCGCTGGGTGTCCCTCTCCGCTGCTGCTGCTGTCTGCTGGGGCCGAACCTCAGCTTACATTACGGGCTAGCTCCGTCCTCCCTCTGGGCGGCCTTTCCCTCTGGGTGCAGAATCTGAGGTCAGCAGCAACTCCCTCTCGGTGCTCTGAATGCGCCCGAGAGGGTGTCTGGGCCCAGCGGCGGTCGGGGCCGCCGGGGGCCGCAGCGGGCTGTCTCTCCCCAGGCTCCTGTCCTGCGGCCTGGGGCTCTCGGCGGAGGGCCAGGCGCTGGCCCTCGGGCCTCTGTCGCCCTGTCCTTCTGTGCTCTGTGCTGCAGCCGCTCTCCGGGTCCCTGGTGTTTCCTGGTTGTGTTTCCCGTGCCGCCAGCACCCTCCACTGATTCCCGATTCGGGTCACTACAGCGTGTGGTTCCGGAACTTCCACTCTTTGGAAGCAGTTGCTGGCTCTTTGCCCACGCCCTTCACCCCGCAGGTCCTCACCCCCGGGGGGCGCCGCTCACGGGACGGCCCGTGTCCGCCCTCCGGCTGCCGTCCCCGTCGCCTGTGAGCCCGTCGTCCCATCTCGTGCGGAGTTGCTTCCGCTCGAAAACAGGGCGTCGTGTGCGAAAGGTGGGGGACGAAGAAAGGCTGAGAACGGTGTCGTCTACCTGTGTGCCCCCAGTCTCCGCCGCCCGCCCCTCGCTGGCCGCGCTGACCGCCCCCCTGCCCCCAGGTGGACGAGGAGCTGCAGATCAAGGCTTACTACGCGGGCCACGTGCTGGGGGCGGCCATGTTCCAGATCAAAGTGGGCTCGGAGTCGGTGGTCTACACAGTGAGTGGAGGCCCTTGGGCGTCCTGGGTGGGGCGTCCTGGGTGGGGGCTGGGACACCTTCCCTGACGCTGCTCCTCCGCAGGGCGACTACAACATGACCCCGGACCGGCACCTGGGGTGAGTCGGCTGGGGTGTTTGCCGGCCCCAGAGCGCACTGACCTTTCCGGATGGGTTGGGGGCCTGAATGCCGACCCCGAGTCCCCCATGGGAGGCAGCGCCTCTTCCCTTGTCTGCCCTCGAGGGCTGCCCGGGCCATGTGGGCGGCTGTGGCTGGGGTCCCGACCGGCAAGGCCTCGAGGCTGTGTGCTCTGCCCACCCCGGGCCGCGCCCGCTCTTCCAGGGCCGCTTGGATCGACAAGTGCCGGCCCACCCTGCTCATCACGGAGTCCACATACGCCACGACCATCCGCGACTCCAAGCGCTGCCGGGAGCGGGACTTCCTGAAGAAGGTCCACGAGACCGTGGAACGTGGCGGGAAGGTACCGACGGGGCCGGAGGGGGCTTGCTGCGCCGTGGGGAGAAGAGCGCCCACGGGCTGCCCGCCTGCCTCAGGCCCCGGCACGGCGCTGGCCGGAGCGCTCACCAGGATCCCAGCGGGACAGACTGAGGCTGGAGGCAGGGGTGGGGACGCAACGGGGGTGGGGCCCCCAGCTCTCGCGGGCCCGGCTGAGACCTCTCGGTGGCCAGGCCTGCGGCCATAAGAGCTGCCGGCAAGGCTGGTCTTCACGGCAGCTGCTGCCTCAGAAGGTGGCCCCGGGAACAGCTGCCGCCCGCTGGGCTCAGATGGGGGCTTGACCTCGGGGGGGTGCGGTGTGACCAGGGGCTCCCCCACACCAGCCTCGGACCCCTGCCCTGCAGGTGCTGATCCCTGTGTTTGCACTGGGCCGTGCTCAGGAGCTCTGCATCCTGCTGGAGACCTTCTGGTGGGTGCGGCCGGGACGGCTTCTGGGAGCCCTGGCCTGAGTGGGCAGGGAGAACGGGGGGCCTGGGGGCCTGGGACGGTGCACGGGCACTGTCCTCTGCACACGTCAGCCCTGCGTCTTCCAGGGTGGGGCAGGCTGTGGGCCCTGGCCTCGCTCTGGGCCGCGGACTGGGGGGCGGGGGACGCAGCCAGGCCTGCCCCCGGCTCCTCCACGGCGGCTCCCGCACTGCCCGCAGGGAGCGCATGAACCTGAAGGCGCCCATCTACTTCTCCACGGGGCTGACGGAGAAGGCCAACCACTACTACAAGCTCTTCATCACCTGGACCAACCAGAAGATCCGGAAGACCTTCGTCCAGAGGAACATGTTCGAGTTCAAGCACATCAAGGCCTTCGACCGAGCCTTTGCTGACAACCCGGGTCCGATGGTGAGGCCCTGGCGGCGGGGTGGGGGGGGGGCACGGCTGTCTGCACCGGCTGCAGCCAAGGTGTGCCCCCGAGGCCGGGGCCCAAGCCTTGTGGCCGGGGGAGCGTTCAATCTCCCTCGGGGAGTGGGGCGTGCCTGTGCAGGGGGTGGGGGGAAGATGCCCACAGGGTGGGAGGGGGCATGGCCAGTGCAACAGGAGGCTGGGGAGGCGGGGAGGGGCCGGGCCTGCTGTGGAGCCGGCTCAGCTCTCCGCAGGTGTGGCCAGGGGCGTGGGTCGCCCTGACCCTGACCCTGACCCCGCCCCCGCCCCCGCCGCCAGGTCGTGTTTGCTACGCCAGGGATGCTGCACGCCGGCCAGTCCCTGCAGATCTTCCGGAAGTGGGCAGGGAACGAGAAGAACATGGTGAGGGCTGGGCCCCAGAACAACCCCGTGGGGGGCCTGCGAGGCTGGGCACGGGGGCTTCCTGGCCTGGGGACACTGCCGCCGTGAGGACGGTGCCCTGTGACCCCATTGGTGCCGGGCCCAGGCAGTCAGACCGTCCCCGTGTTCCCGCCAGTCGGTGCCAGTCAGGGCTCCCTCCTGGGCAGGGGGGGCACGATACTTGGGCCTGGGTCTGCAGGGGGCCGACAAGGGGGCGCCGGCAAGGGGGGTCCTCTCCCCAGGAATCAGAGGAGCAGAAGGGGGTGGGGGTGTCCCAGGAGGAAGCCCTGAGGCGGGTGGTGGAAGCCATGCGGGTGGCCGCCAGCTCTGTCCCTTTCTGCCCTGCAGGTCATCATGCCCGGCTACTGCGTACAGGGCACCGTGGGCCACAAGATCCTCAGTGGGCAGCGCAAGCTGGAGATGGAGGGGCGGCAGGTGGTGAGTGCCAGCCTTCCCCAGCTCCGCGGCCCCTCTCGGGTGGGTAGTGACGGCCCCTGTGCCCTGTGCCGCCGCAGCTGGAGGTCCGGATGCAGGTGGAGTACATGTCCTTCAGCGCGCACGCGGACGCCAAGGGCATCATGCAGCTGGTGGGCCAGGCGGAGCCCGAGAGCGTGCTGCTGGTGCACGGCGAGGCCAAGAAGATGGAGTTCCTGAAGCAGAAGATCGAGCAGGAGTTCCGTAGGCAGCCTGGCGGGCGGGGTGGGGCCGGTGCAGGGCCTCAAGGGGGGCCCCCCACGGGGTCAGCGGGGCGGGGCCGGGCAGCCCCGCTGACACTCTGTCTCTCGGCCAGGGGTCAGCTGCTACATGCCAGCCAACGGCGAGACGGTGACGCTGCCCACGAGTCCCAGCATCCCCGTGGGCATCTCCCTGGGGCTGCTGAAGCGGGAGATGGCGCAGGGTATGCGGGGCGGGGCCGGGTGGGGTGGGGGCATGCAGCCCCCTCTGACGGCTCTGACCCCAGCTCCCCTCTGCAGGGCTGCTCCCTGACGCCAAGAAGCCCCGGCTCCTGCACGGAACCCTCATCATGAAGGACAGTGTGAGTGTGTGCGAGCGCGCGCCGCCGCCGCCACAGGGGAGGGGGCGGGGGCGGGGGCGGGGCTCCCTCACGCCCTGACATGCCCCGCCCCCTGCCGCCCCCCCGCAGAACTTCCGGCTGGTGTCCTCGGAGCAAGCCCTCAAGGAGCTGGGCCTGGCCGAGCACCAGCTGCGCTTCACCTGCCGCGTGCACCTGCACGACTCGCGGAAGGAGCAGGAGACGGCCGTGCGCGTCTACAGCCACCTGAAGGGGTGGGTGCGGTCCTCCGGCCCTCGGGGTGGGCGCCGCGGGGCAGGAGGCAGGGGCTCACCACTTGTCCCCGCAGCCTCCTCAAGGACCACTGCGTGCAGCACCTCCCCGACGGCTCGGTGACCGTGGAGTCCATCCTCATCCAGGCTGCCGCCCACTCGGAGGACCCGGGCACCAAGGTGCTGCTTGTGTCCTGGACCTACCAGGTGTGTGGCAGGACCCTGGACCTGTGGCTGACAGCGGGCCAGGACAAGGGGGGCCACCCCCTCACCCTGGGCTGCCTGGGTGGGGCAGGTTTGGGAGGGTAGGGCAACAGCCTCCGTGTCCACACAGGACGAAGAGCTGGGCAGCTACCTCACGTCCCTGCTCAAGAAGGGTCTGCCCCCGGCCCCCAGCGGAGGCAGCTGACGCCACAGGCTGCCCAGCCAGAGGGACCACACTTCCGCTCTAGGATGGGGCCTGTGCCCTGGTCTTCCCTCTGTGGGTGTGCAGCCCCCAGCTGGCCACGGCCTTCATCCGTGGGGACAACACCAGTGTCGCCTGTCTGCCAAGTGGCCGATTTTGGTGGAAAAAATAAATAACCCTCAGAGGCCTTTTCACACTTTATTTCTGCTTCTGGGCTGGAAGGTTCCTCTCCGGTGATGGCGGAGCCGCGGGCTGCTCGTGTGCTCCCACCTCGGTGCTCACGCCCGCCCCCTGCACCCGCCCCAGCCTGACAGCACAGGGCGTGGGGCGTGCGGAGCTGGGCAGGGCCCAGTGGCCTAGCCTGGTGAGCCAGGTGTGCCCTGACTGTGGCTGGGCACCTAGGGGTCATCTGCAGCCTCAGTGCTGTGGGCCCTGCCGACCACATGAGGCCAGAAGCTTGGGGAATGCTGGAAACAGAGCCTGTAGACAGATTCTAGGTCAACTGGGGGCAGGAGGGTCCCCACAGGGGCTGTGGAACCCCTGCTCACTTTCAGAGGCGCCCCCCGCCCCACCTCCATGTCCCCCTTTGGGAACTTGAGGGGCGTGGGCCTGAGCAACACAGGCACCCCACCCCAGGTCACCTGTCTTTGGGCCCCTGGTCTCTGGCCTGAAGTCTTCAGGCCGCCCCAGCTGGTGGGCCCTGGCATTCCCGCTGGGCACAGGCTGGACTCCCGGCTTCTGGCATGGTAGGCGAGGGCTGTGATGCTGTGGCCACCGAGGGCTCTCCAGCAAGGACCTGGCCTGGAGTGGGGGCCTCCTCAGGCGCCCCCCTCTCACCGAGGTCCTCGAAGCCCCCATAGCGCACCGACTTCAGGAACAGGCCGTGGGCTGGGGCCACACGCGTCTGATGCTTTCCCAGGGGGTCCCGGCTCTCGAGAATCGCCTTCACCTGAGCAGGCGTCACAGTGCCCAGCCCCACGGCCACCAGGATCGCCGTCATCCTCCGCACCTGCAGCCCAAGGCCAAGACTGCCACCGAGGCCCGAGCCTTCCCCTGCTCCCCACCCCCTGGGGGCCCAGAACAGAGCCCACCTGTCTGTACAGGAAAGACTGGCTCTCAAACTCCAGGCTCCAGAACCGTAGCCTCCTAGGGACATGGGCACCTGTGACGTCCAGGCCACAGGGCAGCCCCAGCCCAGTCTGAGCCCAAAGCAAGGGCAGAGCAGGGGGCCTGGAAAGAAGGTTGACTGGTGCCCACCCTCTCCTCCCCCCAGGGGCCTCCACTGACCAGCCCACCCCTTCGGGGAAACCAAACCACTCTCAAGTCAGAGGGAGGGACAGCAGGGCCTCCCCGGGGGTGCGGCCCTCAGGCTGAACCGTGAAGGTCCTGGTACTGGCTCTGGGGCAGCTTGTGTGCTAGGCCCAAGCCTCCAGCCGGAGCCCAGCAATGCATCCGAGGCTGGCTGTGCAGAAGTCCCTGCTCCCTTTAGTTTTGGCCCAAACTAGGAAGGTTCTAGAACAGGTGTCAGATTCATTTTCACTGGGGGCCACATCCGCCTCAAGGTTGCCTTTAAAGGGCCAAAGCAATTTCAGGACGGTACAAATGGAACTGCTCGACTGCTAAGGAGCTGAGATTGCATTCGGCCCTTGGGAAGAAACCACAAGGCTGGTGTGGCCCCGGTGAGAGTGAGTGCGGCACCCTGCTCTGGTCGTTGGCAGCTGCCCTGTGGCTGGAACCCCGGGCCCGAGGGGCCTTTTCAGTGGCTGCCGAGATCTGTCCAACAGGCAGGGAGCTCTGGGCAGGGCTGGGAGCCCTCCGAGAAGGGCGGCCGGCTTTCTCCGTCCTCTTTTCCTCTGAGGGGAGGGCAACTGCCCAGCATCCCCCCAGCGTGTACCCACGACATGATGCCTCTGCCCTGCCCTCACCCGGAAGGTGCCGGAGCCCCGCCCCGCCCCCACGGCCTCCAGACCGGCGTGCGGGCCGCCCCCTCACCTGCTCTCCTGGGGGAGGAGGAAGGGGCTGGCTGGGCCCGGGGCCACGGAAGCTCGGCGCAGCGTGCGCACGGAGCTGGGGGACGGGCTGCCAGCCGACTGGAAGGCGCTGAAGTCGTGTGTCCCCAGGAGGTGGTGGGCCGCCTCCTGCATGGCGGCCACGTCCAAGCAGCTGCAGGGCCGGGCGAGTGGTCAGGGGGTGGCCCGCGAAGTGCAAGCCCCGGCCCGCCCTTCACCGGCACCCAGCCCACACCCACTCTGCCGGCAGCGCCCAGCATCGGTTCCGCTCAAACACAGACAGCGGGCTGTGCTGGGGGCAGCCAGTGGCCAGGCGGTACAGGTAGGTCCTGGATGTGGCAGAGTAGCGGGCGTGGAAGTCACTGGGCACACGGAAGGCCTTCAGGACCCTGTGGAATGTGGCAGCAAGGTAGGGTCACCAGAGGAATGACCCTGCACATACAAGTGACCCCTTGGTATCTCACCTATCGACCCCCAAAAGTGCTGCACAGACACCAAGCCCTTCCTGACCTCCACCTCCAAGGGCTTAGAGCAGAGGGTGCTCACCGGATGGCGGGGTGCCTCAGGTGGGTGTTGAGGGCCTGCGTCAGGACCTCAGGGGAGAAGGGTGGCTGGCCTGAGCGGCGCTGGACGTCCAGGTGCGCTGCGTTGCTCAGGGCGTGGACCCCAGCATCCGTGCGGCTGGAGATGGTGAACTTCACTGGCACGGCCGATTTCAGCCCCTCCGCGGCCTCCTGCGGGGACAGAGCCGCCGGGGGCGGGACGGGCAGCGCAGGGCGAAGACCCCGTGCTCCCACAGGCGCGGGGCTCCCATTTGTCCCTCCCGGGGCTCGCCCTCCTGCGTCCCAGGCGACAGGCCGGCGGAGCTCACCTCCAGGTAGTTCTGAACCCCGGCGGCGCGCTGGGCGCCCCTGACGGCCGCGACCCCGCTGTGGGCAGAGGCGGGCGCAGGTCAGTGGGCGGATACCGCCCCTCCCGGGCCCCACCCAATGCGGCCCACGCGGCCATGCCTCCCCGTTGTGCAGGCCCAAGGCCGGGCGGGCGGATGCTAAATATAGCTGCCGCCCTTCCCTCGCGCGCCAGCTGCCCTCGGGGACCACCTCCGGTGCTTCCCGCGGCGCCGCACTGTGCGTGGGGGTCGCGAGCACGAAAAGAGGTCCGGGGGACGTACTTAAAGTCGGTGCCCAAGTACTGGAAATACACGAGGTAGCGCGCCCGCACCGAACCCGCAGCCAGGCCGCAGCCCATGGCCGGGCTGGACGGAACAGAGAAGAACCCAGTGGGGCCGGGGACCACACGTGGGCCCTGCGCGCGCGCGCGCGCGCGCGCGCAGCCTGACCACGCCCCCGTTGCTCCCGCGCCTGCGCCTTTGCGTTAGCCACGCCCCTGCAGCCCTCCACTCCCGCCCCGCACCGCCGAGGGCGGGGGCAGCGAAGGCGGGGGCAGACTTAGGGAGTGGGTGCAAAGTGCCGGCCGCTGAGGGGTGCGTAGGCACCATTCGAGCAGCGGCGTCCCGGGAGACTCTCTTACGACCGCGCCCGACCTGCACGCCCCCTCGTGCGTGCGCTCGTTCGCCCATCTGCCCACTGACTCACTCGTTCTGCATCCCGGCGGACGTGTCCTACCGCCGCGTTGAGGCCTAAAAGGTTTTGCAAACACCCCTAGTTGCGCAACGGTTGGATCGCCGGAGAGGGCGGAGCCCGTACTCTACCGGCGCCCCGCGGCCCACCGGACGGCTCCAGACGCCCCACTGTTGCTGAGCCCGCCCACCTTCCCGACCTGGAGTGGCCTAGGAAAGAAGGGAGGCGGAACCTCGAGGCGTCAGGGCAGGAGTTGGGCGTGACAGCGGCCGCAGGGAGGGCCGTTTGGCGACGCTCCCCTGAGTTGACAGCGGGCGGCGCCCGCGGGTGGTGAACTTTGGTGACGCTCCCCGGCGGTGACAGCGGACGGCGCGCGCACGCTGAGGACTTTGGCGACGCTCCCCGGCGGTGACAGGCGGGGCGGGGTGGCTGCACCGCGGCCTCATTCCGGGGCGGGCGGGCGCGGAGCGCGGCGCGGGCGGGCGGACGAGCGGGCCGAGCTGGCTGAGGATGCCGCTCGGGGCACCGCGGTCCTCGTGCCAGTGAGCGCCGCCGCAGCCATGACGGTGGAGTTCGAGGAGTGCATCAAGGACTCGCCGCGCTTCAGGTGCGCCCGCGGGGCGCGCCCTTTGTGGGCGCCGGGGTCGCCGCCCCCTCGGGGCACCCGGGGCGGCCGAGGATGGGCGCGGGGCGGGGGCGTCGGTGCCCGCTTTGTGCCCGACGGGGAAGCCAGTGACGGAAGCTGGAGGACCCCGTCTCCGACAAAGCCCGCAGCGCCCCGGGACGAGGGGACGGAACAAAAGATGTCCCTTGTGCTGGTCACCTCGCGCGGAGGGCGCGCGCGTGGGGGCGGGGCTGCCGCGGGCTGGCCACCTCTCCGTGGGAGTGTCCACCCCCGCTTTGTGTCTGCACCTTCGTGCCGACCACCTGTACACGGCTGAGACCCTTCCCGGCCCTGCAGTCCTGCTGCGGCCAGGGCTGTCTGGGCTCACGGGGCGTCCGTCCCCGGATTCTGTCTGGGTCCGTGTGCCCAGAGTGCGCAGAGGGGGCAGCCAGCTGGAGCCACATGTAGGGTCTGGGGTGGCTGCTTGGCAGGGTGAACTCGGCACCCGGAGGGGAGGGGCGGGGGCTGGGCCAAGCAGACCCGGTTGGAGGCTGTGGCCTGTGGCCTGCCCTGGGTCTGTGTTTTCAGGGCTTTGTGGGAGTGCAGGCGTGTTCATCTGTGTGCAACACACCTCCACTGTGTGCACATGTCTGCTGTGACCGAGCACCTCCTGTGCGCCAGGTGCACACGTGGGAGCTATGTCCGTCTGCACCCCGTCTTGTGCCAGACCCTGGACATGACTGTGTGGGTGAGCTGTGCCCCTGTGCTGGCGTGCTCAACACATGTGTGTAGGCTAGTGATGGAAGCATGCATGTCATGTGTCGCTTCTTGGTGTGCACACACACACACACACACTGTTTATCACTCTGGTGTGAGTGTTGGCACTAGACATACATGTTGTTTTGCTCACGTATACACCAGCACAGGGACACATGTCTCTGCATGTGTGACCATGTGTGCAGTATGCTGTTGTGTGCATGCACATGGGATGGCACAGGAGCACATCTACCATACATCTGAGCACACGTGTGCTTGCTCGTATGTGTTGTGTGTGCTTCATCTCGGGGGCACCAGCCGGAGGGCCTGTGTGTGTGCACACAGAAGTGAGGCACCGGGGTCGCTCCTGCCCGGGGCCCCGGGGCCCGCCTCCTGCACAGCCCCTCACAAGGGAGGCTGGGGGTGAGGGGTCCAGTCGGCCCAGAGAGTGGCCCCAGGCCCTGGGAGAGCAGTAAGCGGCGACCTTCCCTGTTCGCCCGTCCTCTGCTGCTGACCGACTGAGGGAGGGGAGGTGAGGCGCTCAGGATCCCGGCCCCGCCTTTGCCCACTGTCCTCCGGGACCCAGGCTGGGGGGAGGTGTAGCCAGGGCCTCAGCTAGGGGCTTGGTCCTGGCCGAGGCCCGCTGGCCTTACCCTGGCCCCTCCCTCTGAGCTTCCCGCTCCTCCTCCCCACCTTGCCTGGTCAGATCGGGTGGCAGCACCTCACTCACCTCCCAGCCTTCCTCCCAGGGCAGCCTGTTCTGCCTGTGGCACCGCAGTGGGTGCGGTGGCTTTGACCGGCTCCCTCTGGCAGGGAGGGGCTGCCCTTGGGAAAGTGCCCAGTGGGGCCTGGGGGAGGGGCTCAGTGGACCCATGAGGACCCTGGGCCACAGAAGCCTCTCTCTGGGTTTTAGGGTTTTGGGGTTTGCATGAGATTTAGTGGGGTTTTGAGGCAACCCCGAGGTGCCCCCGTCTGCTCGGCTTCAGGTACAGCTGAGACTGTAACCCAGGCTTCCTGGAGGCTGGCCTGGGCTGGGCGGGTCAGGGTGTGGCAGGCCAGGAGGATGTGGTCAGTGCTGCAGGGCCCTTGGCCGCAGCCCTGGGGAGGAGGACCCTGCCTGTGCACTCTTGGCCTGGGGAGACCCCAGATGCCTCTGGCTAAGGGGTCCGGACTCTTCGAGACAGGCCTAGGGCCTCCACCCACCCCTTGTTCTTGGTGCCCCCTCCCGTGGGCGGGGCTTCAGGCACTGAGTCACAGCTCTTGGGGGGGGGGTGACTGGCCCCTCCCTCCTTCCCATCCTTCAAGCTGCTGAGGAAATCCTGGAGGGAGGGCAGGGGAGGAGGCCTCAGGGGCCAGGGAAGGAGAGCCGGCTCCCGGAGCAGCCTCACCCTGCTGCACTCCAGGGACCAGGAGCCCAGGCCCCAGGGTGGCAGCACTCTGCACGGCTGCCCAGGGCACTTGGCCGGCTGGGGCTGCAGAGCTCTGTCTCCCTCTGCAGCACCCTCTTCCGGGTGGGTGGTCCTTCCCTGCTCCCCGCCCGTCTGAGGGGGAAGGAAGAGGCTACGGCGGGGTCAGGGTCCTTGGGGTCCCAGCCTCCACTGTCAGAAACACACTCCTCAGGCCACACCTCCAGGCAGTTCCGAAGGACAGGCCTGGGTGGGCTTCAGGGCACTCACGGGGGCCTGGGTCCCCTCCAGGCCGGGCAGACAGCCTCTCTGAGCCGTCTCTGCTCCGGCAGGTAGCGCCCTGAGCCCCTCGGGGGGGACTGGGTGCTGCTCAGAGAGGAGCCCGTGTCCCACCGGGTGGCTGGTGGGGAACTTCCGAGGCCCCTGGGTGGTGCCCCTCCCTCCCCCGCTTCTGATGGAGATCATGCTGAGCGACACCCTCTGTGAGGGGCCAGGTCCTGCCCCCAGGCCTGGGAAACCCTGCCATGCACCCCCCCCCGCCCACCTCCCTCCACCTGACCCCGCCCAAGACCTGTCCCTGGGGCCCGAGCCCATTCCAGCTGCCCCTCGTCCACAGGAGGCCAGATGGGCCTAGCTCACCAGCTGAGTGGTGGGGGGGCACCGGGATCCTGGCCTGATTTTTCTGTTTCCTGTTCCTGGAGCATGAAGGGGAGGGGGGATGTCACGTGCCCGATCCATCTGCCTCTGCCTTCCGGGGATTCTCCTGTCCGAGGCTTCTCGGTGATGTCATGCGTTAACTCTCCCCTCCCCGAGGTGGCCCATTGTCAGGCGGCCCCGGGGGAGTGGGTTCCTCCCAGCCGGACCCAGCCCCGTCTCCTGGCACGCCTGCCGGTCTGTGTTTTGAGGTTGGGGGAGTCGGGGGTCTCGGTGCTGAGGAAATCAGAGAGAACGGCCGTCCGGTGCCCTGGGTTCCGACTGAGATGCGTTTGCCACGGGGGCTACCAGGCTCCGGAGGGACTGTCCCTCTGGGCCCCGGGGCCGGGCAGGAGGGTGGCTGACCTCCCTTGTCCCCACCCCCAGCCCACACCTTCTCGGGGACTCCAGCCCCTCCCTCTGTCCTCGGGCTCGTCTGACCTCTATACCCTGGGGCGTGGCTGCAGCAGCCCGGCCCCAGAGGGGGTATCACACCCAACTGGGCCTCTTCTGGCCGCTGGTTCAGGTGGGCGCTGGGCAGCTCTGGAGTCAGCTGGACCTGTGTCCCTGCCCTGGCTCCTCTTCCCAGGCAGTGGCAGCCTCTCCCAGCCTCCATTTCTGGGCCTGCCTGTGGACCTCGGGGCACAGGTCAGCAGGTGGGGGCAAGCAGCCAGCAGCCCGGCAGCCCCCTCAGGGGGAGCACGGGGAGGCGAAGATGCAGCCGGACGTGAGGTCAGGGTGGCTGGCTGCAGGCCGACCTGGCTGCCCCGTTCCCGTTGCAGGGCAACTATCGACGAGGTGGAGACCGATGTGGTCGAGATCGAGGCCAAGCTGGACAAGGTGAGGGGCCAGGGTGCACGGGCCCCGGGCCGCGCTCCACCCCTCACGCCTGGCCACCTGTGTGTGTGTGTGCGAGCGTGTGGGCACACCGGGGTTGCACCTGGGGCGTGCAGCCTGTGTGCCATGCACGAGACGCGGCCGTGTCCCCACCGTCCCAGCTGTGCCTACCATGCCCATCCCAGCTGCGGCACGCACTGAGCGCGTGTGCCCCCCCGCGTCCCCATCAGGTGTGGCGGGCCTTGGTGGGTCCCCTCCAGGGTGTCTTCAGGGCAGGAGACAGCTGCTGGGGGCCGGTGCCACTGAGGGACCAGGCTGGGGCTGACGTGGGGGCCAGGGGGAGGAGGGTCAGTGGCCCTGAGCCCCCTCAGCGGCTGGTCTTGCTGGCTTTGGGGCGGGACCACAGGGCTGCCCCAGCCGTGTCCTGCTCCGACCTCCTACTCTGGGGCCAAGGCCCAGGGTGGTGGCACCGTGCAGCCGAGTGCCCAGGGGGCTCAGAGCGGAGGGTGGGCGGGCAGTCCAGTCCCTCCTGGCCTGGGGCTGCTTGAGGGGGCTGTGTTCCGGGCACCGCCGCCCCAGCCTCCCGGTGGTGGGGTGGGCTGGCAACAGCCGCTGGCCTGAGTGTCGCCCCATCCCGCCTGCAGCTGGTGAAGCTGTGCAGCGGCCTGATCGAGGCTGGCAAGGCCTATGTCACAGCCAACAGGCTCTTTGTGAGCGGCGTCCGGGACCTGTCGCAGCAGTGCCAGGGCGACACGGTCATCTCGGTGAGGGGACGGCCGCCCCGGGTCGGGAGTGGGCACGGCCAGGCGGCCCCTCGAGGCTGCCCAGGCCCTGGGGGTGGGTGGGCTTCTGGGCTGGGTGGCAGGGGTGTTTCTCTGGCCTGTGGCAGGGGAGGTGCTGGCCGCGTGGGGCAGGGCACAGCCGTCCCGCCTGAGTGAGGGGTCTCCCCACGCTGCCCCCCAGGAATGTCTGCAGAGGTTTGGAGACAGCCTCCAGGAGACGGTCAACTACCACATGGTAAGCCCGGCCAGCGCGGGGGCGACGTGCTCAGGGGCCTGTCCGAGGCCGCTCCGCCGGCTGGCCGGCCAGCTCGGAGGGCGGCCGTGTGTCGGCTTGTTCTGTCTGTGGGGCGGGGACATCCGTGGGGGTCTCTGCCGTGACCCGGGTGAGGGCCAGGCCGTGGAGAGCACGGGAGAAGTGGCAGTGCAGCCCAGGCCTGCGGGCCGGGGTGCTCAGGGTGGGAGAGGCCTTGGGGGGTCATCCAGGGCCTCCAGCCAGGCAGGGGTCCCCAGCAGAAGACCCCTCCCAGGCTGACCCCATGGCCCTGGACAACTCTGACCTCGCTGCCCCCCTGGGCTGGGGCTGGGTGACCTCCAGGCCTCGGTGCCCCCCGCACAGACACGCGGAGCAGGGCCTGAGGCGCACGTGGGTGGCCGGACATTGGCCTGGGAGCCAGAGCCCCAGACTAAACAAGGAGCCCTGCCCCCCACAGGGGAAGTTCAGAAATAAACTAGCTGGAAACAGCTTGTCCTGCTGGGTCTGTCTGCCTGCTTCCAGATAGGGCCCCCACGTAGCCACATCTGAATCCGGGTCCCATAACTGCTGTGGGGAGCGCCCCAGCCCCCGGCGACCGCCATCCCCCACCCCCAGGCCTGGTTCTTCGGGAGCCCCAGCTCCGACCTGGCCCCTCTGCCAGGGGGCGTCACCCTCGAGGGGGCCTCCCAGGGCCAGGGGCGGCGGGTGTCACCACGCAGGTGCTCTGTGTGTGCCTGCCCTGTGGGGCCCGTGTGCCCGGGGGCCGCACCGGGGGGCCCATCTGGCCTCCAGTCTGGCCGGGAGCCAGAGCGGACATGGGCAGGTGGTCACAGCTGTCGCCTCTGGGCACCAGCCCAGGCCTGGGGGGCCACACCCACGCCCAGACCCTGGGAGGCCGGCTGTGTGGGGATGCCCGGCTGGGGCCCAGGCTGGGCTGGGTGGGGCGTTCCCTAGGTCTCCCCTGTGAGGGATGGGGCCGGGCCCCTGGGGTGCTGTGGGGGTAGGCAGCTGACACCCCGCTGTCCTCTGCCCCCCAGATCCTGTTTGACCAGGCCCAGAGGTCCGTGCGGCAGCAGCTCCACAACTTCATCAAAGAGTGAGTGGCCGAGGGGGGGTGCACCGTGCGTCTGCCCTGGAGTGGGGAGCCGACACAGCTAAGCTGCATCTGGGGGGGTCCTGGGCCTGCTCAGGAGGGGCCTCAGGACCATGGGGGGTGGGGGGTCCTACAAGGGCAAAGGCTTGGAAGTGGGACTGGGCTGGAGGGCAGGAAGAGGGCCTGGGGTGCGAGGTGAGGCCGAGGACACAGAAGGGGTCAGCGGGGAGGGGAGGGCTGGGCGGGGGTCTGAGCCCCGCGCCTGCGTGGGCAGCGGGGTGCCTACTGTGCCCCTGAGCGGAGCCACGTTGAGGTCAGGTGTGTGAGTCTGGGTCTGGGTCAAAGCTGGGGACCGCCCTGGGCTGGACCAACTCTGCGCGTGAGGTGATGGAGGGCATGGGGGGCCCTCGATGAGGGAAGGAGGGGGGCCTTCCCGGGAGTGCGGAGGGTGGCCAGGAGCCCTGGGGGGGCATGTTGTGAAGGCGGAGACCCTGCGTTCGGCCCTCCTGGGAGCCCTGACGGGACACCCCCCACCCCGCAGTGACGTGCGGAAGTTCAAGGAGACCAAGAAGCAGTTTGACAAAGTGCGGGAGGACCTGGAGCTGTCCCTGGTGCGGAACGCCCAGGCCCCGAGGCACCGGCCGCACGAGGTGGAGGAGGCCACGGGCGCCCTGACCCTCACCCGCAAGTGCTTCCGCCACCTGGCGCTGGACTACGTGCTGCAGGTCCGCCGCCGGGCTCGGGGGCGGGCCCTGGGGGCGGGGGCGGGGCCTGGGCTCCTGCGGACTGGCAGAGCGGGCGTCTGGGCCGGGAGCATCTCTGGCCGGAGAAAACCTTCGGTGTCGGATCTTGGGAGGGGTGTGGGGGCGGCAGGCTGCGGGGTCGGAGCCCGGGGAGACCTGGGGGCGGGTCTGCAGGGCCCCAGAGCAGGGGTGAGAACCCCTGCCTTTGCCCCTGGGGGGGACCCCTGAGCACCGACTCCGGGCCTGGGAGGGCGGGCGTGGCCAGTGCAGGGGCAGGGGAGCCAGGAGGGGCCTCGGGGACTCTGGGGCAGATGCAGGCTGTGGGCCGCCGCCACCTCAGCACGCCGCCCCTGCTTCCCCTCCCCCGGCAGATCAACGTGCTCCAGGCGAAGAAGAAGTTCGAGATCTTGGACTCCGTGAGTGCCGGGAGAGGGCAGGCGGGCGGGCAGGTGGGCGCTGCCCTGGAGTCCGGGTGCGGCGGCCTCACCGGTCCCCCCCGCCCCGCAGATGCTGTCCTTCATGCACGCCCAGCACAGCTTCTTCCGGCAGGGCTACAGCCTGCTGCACCAGCTGGACCCCTACATGCAGAAGCTGGCGGCCGAGGTGGGCCGGCCGGCGGGCGGGCGGGGTGGGGGGGGGGCGCAGGCAGGGTCCCGGCGGGAGGGCCCCCTTTCCCTCCCTGATGTACCTCCCCCCCCGCAGCTGGACCAGCTGGTGATCGACTCAGCAGTGGAGAAGCGGGAGATGGAGCACAGGCATGCGGCCATCCAGCAGCGGGTGAGGCCCTGCCCTGCCCTGCCTGCTGGGGGTGGGGGGCGGGACCCCAAGAGGCCACCACCTCCAACTCTCTCCATCCTGCGGAGCTGCAAGGCCCACGGCGGGCACACGCTCCTTCCCTCCCCAAGGCCTGCCCCCCTCTTGCTGGGTCCCCATCTAGGGCCTCCACGCAAGGGAGCAGGAGTGGGGGGCGGCCCTGTGGTTGCTCAGAGGTCAGGACAGAGGCAGGCAGAGGGTCAGCCTTCAGTGCACACACTCTGGGCCTTCCTTCCAGGCCAGCGGCAACGGGGGGGGGCCTCCGTCGCCGGCTTCCACTGCCAGGCTGTCGCCCCCACGCTGCCTGCCGGGGGAGAGGTGGGCTGCAGGGGGTGCTGCCAGTTTCAGAATCCCGGAGCGCCTGCTGGGGGGGCGGTGGCTGGAGGCCGAGCTGTCCCTCACGGGCATTCTCTCCTTTCCCCCACCCCTGCCTGCGCTGCCACCGCAGACACTGCTGCAGGTGAGTGGGCGCCCCCAGAGGGAGGGAGTCAGGGGGAGGCCAGTGGGCGCGGCCTCTGCCCGCCCTCACCCCGAGGCCCTTCAGCACCAAGGACACCTCCCACCGGCCTCGGAGCTCCCAGACACCTGTGGGCACTCCGCTGCAAACCGTGGCTGGCACCAGCAAGGACGCGGGCCGCGCCGGGACGCATGCCCCGTGGGAGCGGCAGCAGCTGTGCCTTCCTGGCCCCGCTCAGCCGGGGAAGCAGGTGGCCGGGCCTCCTCTCCCACTGCAGACACACAGGGCGGCACTCAGAGTCTCCCCGGCCTGGTGAACGGGGCTCTGTCCGGCGGGAGCAGGCCCAGCTGGCCACATGAATGGGGGAGTGGGCCGGGGGGGCAGCTTCCTTCCTGATCCCAGAGCCTGCTGTCTTTAAAAGGCTGGGGGCGAGGGGGCGGAGCTGGGCGCTGGGGCCCCAGCGGCAATGTAAGGTGACCGCCCCCAGGAGGATCCGGGCAGGGGCCTTGCCCAGGCCCAGGCCGGGCATTCACGGGGGCCCGGCTCCAACCCCCAGGACTTCTCCTACGATGAGCCCAAAGCGGAGTTTGACGTGGACGCGCCCAGCGGCGTGGTGATGGAGGGCTACCTCTTCAAGAGGGCCAGCAACGCCTTCAAGACGTGGAACCGGTGAGGGCAGGCCTTCCCAGGGGGCAGGGAGGTGGGGTGGACCTGCGGCTGGCCCCGCCTGACCCCTCCTGGCCCGTCCGCCCACCCAGGCGCTGGTTCTCCATCCAGAACAGCCAGCTGGTCTACCAGAAGAAGCTGAAGGTGTGTGCAGGGCCTGGGCCCTGGGGCGGGCAGTGACGGGCGCCATCGCCCGCGTGGCCAGGGGGCGGGAAGCCTGGCGGTGTCGGGCAGAGCAGTGAGGGGCGGTCAGCGTGGGGTGCGGAGCGCAAGGGCCTCCTCGTGCCGCCCGCAGGACGTGCTGACGGTCGTGGTGGACGACCTCCGCCTGTGCTCCGTGAAGCCGTGCGAGGACATCGAGCGGAGGTTCTGCTTCGAGGTCGTGTCGCCCACCAAGTGAGGAGGCGGAGCCTGGCGGGGGCGGGCGGGGAGCCCCTGCCCGCCCGGCCTGACGCCCCCTCCCCGCAGGAGTTGCATGCTGCAGGCCGACTCCGAGAAGCTGCGGCAGGCCTGGGTGCAAGCCGTGCAAGCCAGCATCGCCTCCGCCTACCGGGAGAGCCCCGACAGCTGCTACAGCGAGGTGCGGCCGCCGGCTCCCTCCGCGCATGCGTGCGCCTGGCTCAGGCTGCGTGGGAGCGTGGGCGTGGGTGCGCATCGTGGGTGTGTGCGTGGGAGTGCGCCAGCACACCAGCGTGTCCCGGCTTTGCTTTGGGGACCTCCAATGAATGGGCCGGCATCTCTGGTTGGGGAGGAGGAGGCGGCCCGCTGGGGAACCGAGGCTGGAGCTCCTGACGGGCTGAGCGGCCCCTCACGCCCGCTGCAGAGGCTGGATCGCACGGCGTCCCCGTCCACCAGCAGCATCGACTCCGCCTCGGACTCCCGCGAGCGCGGCGTCAAGGGCGAGAGCGTGCTGCAGCGCATGCAGAGTGTGGCCGGCAATGGCCAGTGCGGCGACTGCGGCCAGCCGGACCCCCGCTGGGCCAGCATCAACCTGGGCGTGCTGCTCTGCATCGAGTGCTCAGGCATCCACCGGTGGGTCCCCGGGCGGGCAGGCGGGCGGGCCGGCCGGCGGGGGGAACGGGCTGAACCCCCTCTGGCTGACCCCGCCCCCCCGCCCTCCAGGAGCCTGGGTGTCCACTGCTCCAAGGTGCGGTCCCTGACCCTGGACTCGTGGGAGCCTGAGCTGCTGAAGGTGGGCGCGGGGCCACCGCAGGCCGCGGGCTGGGCAGGGGGCGGTGGGGCCCGGCCTGCAAGCCAGGGCTGTCTGTGAACCGGGGCTGCGGCCCGCACACCCTGTCTCCGCTAGCTGATGTGTGAGCTCGGGAACAGCACCGTGAACCAGATCTACGAGGCCCAGTGCGAGGCGCTGGGCTGCAGGAAGCCCACAGCCAGCAGCCCCAGGTGAGGGGCGCGCCGCAGCAAGCGGGGAGGGTGGGCGAGCGCCAGCCCCGAGTGTGGCCTCACACTCACCTGGGTCCAGGCAGGACAAGGAGGCCTGGGTCAAGGACAAGTACGTGGAAAGGAAGTTCCTGCGGAAGCCACCCTCCACGCTGGCTCGGGAGGCCCCGCGGCGCTGGCGGGCGCTGAAGAGCCCCGGCCGCCACGGCTCCCCCCGCGTGCCTGCCACCCGCCGCAAGGTCCGGATGGAGCCTGTCCTGCCCTCGGTGGCTGCTCTGTCCTCAGGTGGGCGAGCTGTCGGCTCACCTGGACGGGGCTGGGGAGAGGGCTCCAGCGGGCGTGAGCCGCAAAGCCCGGGCTCTACGAGGTCAGGCAGAGCGGGCAGGAGGCGGGGCTCACGGGGGCGCGCAGCGTGACGGCCCTGCTTCTCCCGCCCCCGCGCAGGCGCCGTGGAGCGCAGGTTCCGCCGGGACTCCCTCTTCTGCCCCGACGAGCTGGACTCTCTCTTCTCCTATTTTGACGCAGGGGCTGCTGCCGCCGGTCCTCGCAGTAAGTGCTGCACGCGCCCCGCCCGCTGCCCACCCCTGAGCCCGCCCCTGGACCCAGCGTGGCTCACTGTGGGGGAGGGGCGTCATGGCCACTTGCTGGGGAACTGGCAGCACGGGGGTCTTTGCCGGAGGGACGGGCTCAGAGCTGGTGTCTAGGGAGGCTGATCTGGGGGTGGGGAGGACGGGGCCAAGCTACGGCCCGGGACAGTGCGTCGAGGACCTTTGGGCCACACCGACTCGAAGGCCAAGGCCGAGACCCTCAAGGGATGCGTGAGTGTACATGTGCCGTGTGCACACGGGAGCGTGTATCTGGGTGTGCATGCAGGTGTGTGTCTGCAGCCTTCCCAGGCAGTGTGGGCAGATGGCATGGGCCTCGGCCAGGAGTCGGCAGGGCTGATGGGGTGGCCGTGGACAGCAGAGGGCGCTGCTTCACCATCCCTGACTATGGGCTCTTCTGCAAAGGCTGCCCTTGGTGAACTGGGCCACGAGCTCCCCCAGTGCCACCTGGGGCCCCATCTCCAGGGCTTGGCCGAGACCCAGTCGCTGGGCAGGGACCTCCTAGCGTGCGCTGGCCGCAGACAGAGCTGGACACCTACCGCCTGCACATGTGCACTGTCCTGCTGGGGGTGACCTGCCTGGAGGGGTTGTGGGGGGAAGGGGCAGGTGCTGCCGGGGACTTGTTTTCTCCCCCTCTCCCATCCCGGTGGGGGGGGCATTCCCTGGAGGATAGCTGGGGTTTGGAGAGGAGTCGGGGATGCTCAGGACCCCCTCTGCCCACGGACCCCACAGGTCTGAGCAGCGACAGTGGCTTAGGGGGTAGTTCCGACGGCAGCTCGGACGTCTTGGCCCTCGGCGTGGGCTCCGTAGTGGACAGCGTCACTGAGGAGGGTGGGTGCACACTTCCCACCTCTGCGTCCGCCCCTCCCCTGCCCTCCCCTCCCCTCCCCCCCTCCCCCTGCTCGGGGCAGGTCTGCACCCTGACTGTCCCGCCCCTCCCCGCAGAGGGCGCGGAGTCAGAGGAGTCCAGCGGCGAGGCTGATGGAGAGGCGGAGGCCTGGGGCCTGGCGGACGTGCGTGAGCTGCACCCGGGACTTCTGGCGCACCGTGCCGCGCGTACCCGCGACCTCCCCGCGCTGGCCGCGGCGCTGGCCCACGGGGCCGAGGTCAACTGGGCAGACGCAGAGGACGAGGGCAAGACGCCACTGGTGCAGGCCGTGATAGGGGTGAGTAGGGCTGGGCGGCCAGACGCAGGAGCACACTGACACGTGGGCATCTCCCAGCCTGCTCCTTTGGGAGCTTCTCCACAGGAACCCCCTTCTGCCCTGCAGTAGACAGGGCTCGGTCTGGCGGGGGGTGCCCAGGCCCTCGCAGGGGCCATCCCTGGGCTCAGTCTGATCGGCCCCGGGCTCTCCAGGGCTCTTTGATCATCTGTGAATTCCTCCTGCAAAACGGAGCGGACGTGAACCAAAGAGACAGCCGGGGCCGGGCGCCCCTGCACCACGCCACGCTTCTGGGCCACACCGGGTGAGTCCCAGCTGCTCCTCCTGTTCGGTTTTGGGGCCCTATCGCCTGGGCGCGTCCCAACTCGTCTCCTCTGCCCTTCAGCCAAGTCTGCCTGTTCTTGAAGCGGGGCGCCGACCAGCACGCTTTGGACCATGAGCAGCAGGACCCGCTGAGCATCGCGATCCAGGAGGCTAATGCTGACATCGTTACGCTGTGAGCGCGCAGGCCGGAAGGGGGCGTCGCGGGGGGTGGGGGCACTGCGTGTGGGGGTGTGGGGGTGTGGGGGTGTGGTACCGCTGGGGCGGGGCTCTGGGTGGGTGGGGCACCGTGTGTGGGCGGGGCGCCCTCACCCTACGCTTTCCGCAGGCTCCGTCTGGCGCGCATGGCCGAGGAGATGCGAGAGGCCGAGGCGCCCTCGGGCCAGCCGGGCTCCCTGGCGGGCAGCAGCCCCACCGAGCTTCAGTACCGCAGGTGCATTCAGGAGTTCATCAGCCTCCACCTGGAGGAAAGCTAGGGCGGGTGGACCTGGCCACCTGGCCCTTGTCCCGAGTCCAGGGGCCCCCGCAGCCTGCTCTGCCCTCCTCGGAGCAGCCACAAACCGCAGGGCCGGGGGAGGGGCCCAGCACTGAGCCTCCTGAAGCCCCGTGTTCCCCCGAGGTGCTGCATCGTCTGGTGCCCCTCACCCCATGCGGGACCCTGTGTCTTCAGTGGACTCCTCCTGGCGTGGCAGCCCGGGGTGCTCCTGTCACAAACTACCCTCAAGGCTCTGTGTCGCCTCGTGCTCCCGTCCTCGGGGCCCGTGTCACCTTGTGCCCTCTGTCCCAGGGGCCTGCGTCATCTTGTGCCCCCACTCTTATTGCCCCAGATAGCGACCTGCTAGTTAGGTCCCTCCTGCACACCCCCAGAGCCCCTCCACGAGGCCCTGAGGCTGGTGGCCGGCCACCAGCTCCCTGCAAGGCAGAAGGGGCAGCCCATCCAGGGAACAACCCGTGTACCTCACTTAGTGACCCCGGCGTCCAGGCTGGGCTTCTCTGGTGCTGGGGGGCACGTCTGGCATGGAGCCTCAGCCCTGGCTGGACGCGGGCGTCCCGAGGCCACGTGGCTGGCCACGTGGGCCCCTCGCTGGTGGCCCTGGACCAGGCCCTGCCTCCCCCAGAGGTCCTCGGCTCAGAACAGGTGCGTGAAGGGCTCTGGCGCGCTGCACCCTGCGTTCAGTGCATTCTCTCGGACCGAGGGACTTCCTGCAGCCACCTCGCTCTCGCCTCCTCCCTCTGCGGACCCTGGAGGAGCACCTTGACCCCAGCTCTGCCTGCTGCCGGGGAGGCCCCTGCAGCTCTGCCCCTACTCGCCAGCCCATGGCGCAGGCCAGGCCCTCGGACGGGCCGGGCCCTTCAGCTCACTCCCCAGGGCCCACGATGCCTCCTGCGCCCCCTGTTCTGGGAGCCCTGGGGCAGCAGCTGAGCCTCTGCCCAACTCGGGCCCTCGATCAGGCCAAGGCCAGTTGGCTGGTCACTATGCAAAGGCTGCCCAAGGAGGCTCCATGGGCGGCAAGGTGGGCACTGACCGGGCCGCCCAAGTCCCTCACCTGCTGGCTGTGACCCCTGATGAGCAGAATTAACTCCTTCCTGTCTCCCTGCTTGAGCTCTGTCCCCACTTCCCGCCCCACTGCCTGCCGGGGCCTCGCGCCTGCACCGCAGGCTGGCGGGCCTGCCCCCCCGGATCGCTCGGTAATAAACTGCCACGCGCACTGCGGCCTGTCGTCGCTCCCCACCTCACTCCACGGTCTCAGCTGGGCCGCGGGCGTCTCGGGGTCCCCTGCCTTTCCTGAGGGTGGCTGGGCGGGATAGCAGCAGGGCCCAAAAGGAGGCAATAAGGCAGAACCCAGAAGCCTCATGGGGGGGCCTGGGGCGGTGTTGATGAACACTGGCTCCTGACACCCCTGTTCCCAGGCCCGTCCGCCCTTCTCTGGCCTGCAGTGAGGCTCCGGGCAGGAGGGAGGGTGGAGGCCAACGGGCGGGCCAGGACGGTCTGGGCCCTCGGGGGAGCCCAGCCCTGCGCTCCCGTGCTCAGTGCCCTCCTGTCCCCCAGGCCCCCGAGTGACCGTGGCTCCGAGGAGCGTGGCGGTGTAGCCTGAGGCTTTCGGCTCGTGCGCAAAGGGTGATGGGGGAGGCAGGCACGTGCTCCAGCCACCGGGTGGGATCAACGGTTTTATTGCAAAGCAGCCCAAGGCCATCAAGTGCCTCGGACTGGCCCTGCCCTCCCCCCGCCCTGAGTGGGGGGAGGCTCTGTCTCACGCTCGTGCACACCCACATGCCGGTGCAGGCAGACGTGTCGGTGCAGGCGAACACACGAAGCCCAACACAGACACACTCCTGTGTGGAGGCGTCCCCCGAGGCATCACACGTACATGGATACACACGTAGGCACGCGCACATGCCAGCGCGCACGTGCATGGGCGTGCTCACCACCATACACGCGAGCACGGGCAGTCGCGTCTGGAACGGGAATCCAGAGTGGTGGGGGTGCTCCTCTCCTCCCTGCCCCCAGCTCCTTGAGAACCGGGAGGCCACCGGTAGGCAGGGCAGCCGTACTGGCCAGGGACCCTGATGTGCTGGGTGCCCTAGGCCTGCCTGCCAGCCCTTGGGCTCTGATACTACTGCTTCCTGGGCCCTAGGCTTTGCTCTGCTGGCCAGGGAGACCCTCTGGCGCTGGTCTGGTGCTGACCCTGGGCAGCCAAGAGAGCCCACCGCTGCTACAGCGCCCAGCTGAGACTGTAAGTTCAGGCTGGCTCAGCGTCAGGAGTCTTGGCAGACACACACTTGACCTAACTCTTCAGCTGAGACTCGTGCCAGAGCCCCGGGAAGCACTGCCGGCTGGGCCCCTGGGCGTCGGACGTCACGGCTGCAGTCACTGGGCAGCTGGTTGGCCTCCGGCTCAGGGTGGATGGCCACGGGCTGGGACCCCAGTGCGCGGTAAAGACAGCGGCAGCCCAGCAGCAGGGCGAGGGCTGTGGCGTCGAGCAGCAGCTCCAGCAGCTCCAGGACGGAGAGGACAGATGAGCCGAACCACAGGCTCCAGAGGCCGCCCATGGCTGACAGCAGCTGCGGCACCTGTTGGCATTGGGGGGCCGTGAGCGGCGCCTGGGGCCTCGTGCACGGGCGCACCCCCGTGTGCAGGGCTGTGCAGGGGTGGTGCCCCCTGTGTCCGGCCAGCCGCTGCCCCGCCCTGGCCCCCTCACCGAGTACACAGGCGTCTCGTCCACCGTGCGGTAGTTGAGCTCCTGGTAGAAGATGTTCACTTTGGCCACGTTGCTCCTGGGGTTGGGCAGAGGCGGGCGGGGCTGGGCCCAGGGCCTGCACGGCGGGGCCCCTCCCTGGGGGCACTGAAGGGCAGGGCTGGAGCGGCGAGGGACCCGGTCGGGACTTGCGGAGGAGGAGTGCCCCCTCCTGGGGCTCGGGCTCGGGCTCCCGGGCCTCTGCTTGCCCAGCTCGGCCAGGATCCAGTCCTGCACACAGAAGGCTCCCTGAGGCTGCCGCTCACCCCAGCCTTCGAGGCACTGCCGGGTGGTGTACGGGCAGGGACCCCGGGGGCAGAGGCTGGTCCAGGCTGGGCCCTGTGGGACCCGCACCCCAGCCCTCAGGGCACTCACCCTTGACTTGGAGGAAGGCCACCTGGAGGTTCCCGCAGAGAGCTTGTAAGAAGACTCCCTAGCAGAGACAGACCCTGTCAAACCCCTGCTGTGGCGCCCAGGGTGGTGACCCCTGACCCCAGTACTCCCCACTCACCTGCAGGGCCTGGGGCAGCGTGAGGTGCAAGGAAGCTGGTGGGTCTCCAGTTCTCTGTAGAGGCGGTAGAAGCAATGGCCTGGGGAAGGGGGTCAAAGGTGAGCCCACTAGGAGCGACCCAGGGGTGGCGGGGAGGTTTGCAGGCTGACAGGCAGGCGGGTGTGGGTGGGTGGGCGGGCGGGCGGTGGGCTGGGCTCACCCCAGGCTGGGTGCGTCGAGGAGCTGCAGTACGGAGCCCCGGGGGGCAGGGGGTAGAAGTAGTAGCCACAGGAGCAGGTGTCCAGCATCAGCTGCTGGAAGCAGGACACGAGGCAGGCCTGCAGGGGCGGCAGGGGCCGGCGCTGGGGTCCAGGGGGCAGCCATCCCTCCCCTCTCCCCTCGGGCCGTCCACCTGCCGCCTGCTGCCCTCCCCGGCCGTCTCCCACCCACTCCCCGCCGCACCTGCATGGTGTAGGAGCTGTTGTACAGCAGCGGGACTTCCGCGTCCCGCACGCCGTCCGTGCAGTCGCCGTAGGGGCTCCCCAGCCGGTGCACTTCATCCTGCCGGGAGGGCGAGGCCTCAGTCCCACCGAACCACCCTCGCCTCGCCCGAGAGCCCCAGGGCTGGGTGGGGCGTCGGGGTTGAGGGCTGGGGTCCCTCCTCCGCCCCCCGGGGGGCCGTGGCACCTCTCGGATGCGGATGGTGGTCTCAGTCCCTGGGCGGATGCTGAAGCCTTGGTGCTCCAGGAAGGGGGTGTGGTTGCGCTTGTGAACCATGACCTTGATGCCGGCCTCCGTGGACAGCAGCGGGAGGTGGTCCTGCTGCTCTGCCCTGAGCACTAGGCTGATGCCTGCGCGAGACGGGGGTGGGGGGATGGGGGGGTGAGGCCTGGCGGGCAGCAGCGCCCCACCCGCAGCCGGCCCCGCCCGCAGCCGGCCCCAGCCGGCACTGACCGTGAGTGATGCCCGCGCGCTGGGCGGCCCACTCGCTGTTGAAGGTGTAGCAGCTGCCGTAGACGGGGTGGTGGAAGGTCTGGAAGTGCCTGGAACCAGGGGCCACGCTCAGAGCAGCTCGAGCCCGAGCGCTCTCAGCCAGGGCCCCAGCCCGCCTTATCTCCCTAGGGAGCTGTTTGCCCTGGGCCCCGTGGGCGGCACCCAGGCCCGGTGGGTGGGGCCGAGGGGAGCAGCTGCAGCCCCGCCCCCACTCACTGGGCCTGGCAGTCCTGGCTGTGGTAGCGGCAGGAGTAGACGAAGTGGTCGCCGTGGCTGTGGTGGCTGTCCTCGCGGTCCGCGGGCAGCGCAGCCAGGATGTTGACGTAGTGGAAGAGGTACCAGGCGCGCACGGCCTTCACGCCCGACGAGTAGGCGCGGTAGAAGCAGTCGCCACCAGTGCTGTTGCACTGGGGGAGGGATGCGAGCTCAGCACCGGCCCCGGCCCCGGCCCCGGCCCCGGCCCCGGCCCCGGCCCCGCCCCCGCCCCCCGCAGCGCTGCGCGGCGCGCTCACCAGCCTGAAGCCCACTTCGTTCTGGCGGTCCAGCCTCTGCAGGCGGACTGTGCGGTCCAGCTGGAAGGCGGGCTCTGGGCCCGGTGCCTGCGCACGGGGGGCGTCCCCACTGTGGCTGAAGTTGAACTGGTAGAGGGCGTAGATGTTCTCGCGGGCAAACTCGTCCAGAGCCTGCAAGGCTCGGCGCGCCAGTCTGGGCCTGCGAGGGAGCGGCGAGGTGCATCAGAGTCCGCCGGGGTGGGCTCCCCCGCCCCCCGCCCCACCACGCCCCGCCATCCGTCTCCTGGGCATCACGCCGAGCTTCGCCTGGCTCTTCATTTTCTCTCTTTTTCATATTTTTTATTTTTAAAAAGATTTTATTTATTTATTTTCCAGAGAGCGGGAAGCAGAGGGAGAACGAGAGGGAGGGAAACTTCAATGTGTGGTTGCCTCTCGTGCGCCCCCTGCTGGAGACCTGGCCTGCACCCCAGGCCTGTGCCCTGGCTGGGAATCAAACCGGTGACTCTTTGGTTCTAGGGCCTGCGCTCAATCCACTGAGCCACACCAGCCAGGGCCCTCTCTCTCTTTAAAATTCTCACCTGAAGGCATGTTTTTATTGACTTTAGGGAGACGGGAAGGAGAAAGTAACATTGATTAGACCTGCAACCTAGGTATGTGCCCTGACTGGGAATCGAACCTGCAAGCTCCTGGTGCACGGGAGCAACACTCTAACCAACCAAACCACCTGGGCAGGGCTGCTTCTTCTCTCTTAACCCCCACCCCTAGGGGGCGGAGGTCTCAGAGGTCCCTGAGGGCATCAGGGGTGGGGAGAGGTGGAGTCCTCCACAGCCCGGCACCCCTGGAGCGGAGCCACAGGCTGCAGAGGTGAGGGGTCAGGAGCCCTGGTCCCGCCCCCAGCCCGCCCTCACCGGTGTGGGTTCAAGTTGCACAGAGTGACGGAGGGGAAGAGCCTCCGGTCCGAGTGCACCGACATGGTCAGGATGACGGGGTGGCGCCAGTACTGCTCGAAGAGGAGCCCAAACTGCCAGTAGAGGGCGCCCAGGGTGCCCAGGAACAGCAGCCCCCAGAACGCCTTCCTCAGGTGGTTCTGGCTGCAGACCAGGCGGGTCGCGCCGTGCATGGTGGCGTTGGCGCAGAAGAAGGTGAACAGCTCCTTGAAGGAGCTGGGCAGCTCCAGCAGCCCCTCCCTGGCCTCCTCGTCAGGCGGCGGCGGCGGCGGCGGCGGCTGGGCCTGGGGACACTTGCAGGTCCCGGGCCCCTCACCAGCTGCTTGGGCCATGGCTCCAGCCTGCGTGAAGATTCGAACTTCAGCAGGGCCTGACCCATCCGGACCCCCACCCAGGCCTCTCTACCCGCCCCCCACCCCTGGTCCCGCCAGCTGGACTTCCATTCTGTCCCTGGGAGAGGGACAGTTGTCCCGGGACAGCTGTGCCCTTCGGCCCTCCGGTGGCATGGCCCAGCCGGCTGCACCTCGAAGGCCTGTCCGCGCTAGGGCCGGACCTGCAGCTGTCCCGTCCCCGCTGCACCCAGCCAGACACCACCCGGCCTCCCCGGGCGTGTCTTATCAGCGCAGAGCGCAGCCTGGGCAGTGGGGGCAGGGGCAGCAGGGGACAGCGCTGGGGCCCTGCCCAGCGCTGTTTGCAGGCTGCAGGCTGGGTGGCTCCCTGCTGCCACCCACCCCCAAGTGGGGCAGGGGTCACTGGGCAGGAGCAGGCCAGGCGACCAGCTCAAGGTGGAGGCTGTGTTGTTTTGGTGGGCCCAGAGCCCATGGCTGGGGGGCCTGGGAAGGCCCAGCAGCCAGCGTGGCCATGGTGGATCGCAACTGATGGAGCGGGGCTGTCGGCCACATCTGGGCCAACGGTCAGGCCTGCGTGCTGCTCAGTGTTGCGGGCTCAGGGTGGGGCGCGGTCCTCTGGGCTGAGTCCCTGGGGAAGCCAGGTCTGTGGGCCTTGGGCTTCAGGAAAAGTGGGGGGGGGGCAGTGCTGGGGACCTGAGGCTCCAGGAGGTGGAGCCGTGGCCTGCTCGGTCCCCAGTCCTGCCCTGGAGGTTCCGGCGTTCCAAGACCCAGGACCTCCAGGCCCCAGGTCCCCCAGCGCACAGGGATGTGGGGCAGTGACCAGGCCAGGCCTGCTGGCCCTGGTCACGCGCCGAGTCACTGCACGGGCTCCTCTGGACTTTCCACACTGTCCCCATCTTGGTCTGAATCACTAGGGCTCCTCATAGCCCAGCGCAGCCTGCTGAGCTCTGGCCCTGCCCACCAGCAGGCGGGGGTGGGGGTGGGGTGGGCAGCCGGAAGGGCGCTGAGCCAGGGGAAGCCTCTGCTGGGTCTCCGCCAGCCCCCCCACCCCCTGCCCGCGAGTGAAGGTGTGCCCAGGCAGGCTGCTCCCAAGTGCTCTGGGAACGAGAGTGTCTCAGCACGCCACCCAGCTTTGAGGGACCCCAGGTACAGGGCGGGATGGGATGGGTGGACCTCCCCGCCCTGTGGCCTCAGGCTTGTGGGCCCCCGGCTAGCCTCGCAGCCCGCCGGGAGCACCCGCCACCACGGGTGCTGAGGATGGGACCCTCGTGGCACAGAGCTCTGCCCACACCTGCGTCTCCACCCCAGGCTCGCCGGGAAGGCAGGCCCCTCGGCTGTGTTGCAGGTGAGCCGGAGGAGGCTCCGGAAGGTGCCTTCCGACTCTGGTGACCACGCTGTGCCCGCTGCCCCAGGGGAGCAGCCCGGAGCAGCCCCTCCCACGCCAGGGGGGCTGCAGGGCCGAGGGCAGCCCTGGAGATGGGGTCTCCAGGGCCACTCGGAGCCTCCAGGGCTTCCGGAGACGGGGCCGCAGACGCACCAGGGCGAGTGTGGGCACTCAGGATCCTGACGCACTTGAGGCGACAGCAGGAGCAGGGTGCACACCCATCACACACACTCGCACGCATGTGAGCACGCACATGGGCAGGGGCTGCCTGACGGAGGAGGGCTTCGTGCCTGCCCAGCCCTCGCCCCTGTGTGCACACGCGTGCACACGGGTTTGCGGTGACATGAGGGACGAGGGACACACCCCTCCACTTCAGACCAGGGAGGCCCCAGGACATGGCTACCGTGTTGCCCCACGTGGGAGGGGGCCCACCTCAGGTACCTGTGCAGGTGCCTCCATTCTCCCGCGGTAGGTGGCCCGACGGTGGCAGCTCCGGCAGGTGACAGAGGGATGTGGCCCAACGCTGGCTGGCCAGCCTCCTATTTATGACAGGCTGGCTTGCAGTGAGGTGCTGGGGAGGTGCCAGCGGCCCGGGGCAGCCCCGCCTGCTCTGGACACGGAAGGGGAAGCCTTCGGGGACAGGGATGGGGTGCCTCCCCTGGGTGAGCCTTTCCTGCCCAGAGCCCTGGAAGCGAGGCCTGCAGCTGTGACCCCGACTGGGGACCAGGAGTTTCAGAGGGACGAGGAGGCGGCACTGGGCGGGGACCCCCTCGGACGCCGGATGGGCACTGACTGAGCAGACTCTCCGACCCACGAGGCTCAGGCCCCTGAGCTGAGGCCCCTGCGCTCTCCCCGCCCCCCGCAGACCCCGTGCGCCCGGCTCCCGAGGCCCCGGCGCCCGCTGCCCGGCCGCATCGCCACAGCCCCGATCACTCCGCCAGCTCTGAGCGCAGGTGTTTGCGGCCAAGGGACGCTGCCGGGCGGGCGGCTGGCTCTGCTCCGGGAGCCCAGGTGTCCACAGGGCCCGCTGCCCGACCCCCCGGACGGGTACTAATTGTGGGAACCACCTGGGGCCTGAGTGTGGCGTGGCCCTCGGGGACCCAAGGGCTCTCGGCTCGGCCTCCCCGTCACACAGCAAGGCCACCCGGCCCAGCACCCACCAAGATGCCATACGCGACACCCAGACCACACCCTGCACGCTCAGGTGACCCATTACCCCCAGAGGTGACACGCCACACACCATGACCACACACAGGCTGAGACCACACACCACATGCTAACAACACGGCATGGTCATGGCCCCAATCCCATGGTCTCTGAGGCTGAAACCCTCGGCCTGAGGGTCGTGGTGTGAGGCCACACGGTTGCTGAAGGTAGGACAACCCAGTACCCCTGCCCCCAGGACGCCCCACCATCTCTGGTTCCACTGGGGTCCCAACATGTCCCCAGGGTGGCCCAGAGGCCTCACCCTGTCCGATGACCAGAGCCTCAGCGCGGTCCCAGGTCGGAGGAGTCAGCTGCGGCCCTGCTGCTCCCGCCCTAGGTGTCCCCCCCCTCCACAGGCTGTGTGGTGGTCTCGGGTCTGAGGACGTCCGGAGAGGGAGTCACGCTGGGGAAGAGCTCACCCGGACTTGCCAGGGTGTGGGTGTGAATCACGGCCCTGTCACTCGCTGGCTGTTACCTTTCCCGGATTACTCAACCGCTGGGAGCCCATTTCCTCGAGTGCACAGTGGGGCTCAGAGGTGGGAGCAGCTGACGTCGCCGCCGGTGTGCCGACCCCTCCCGGGGCCTGCCTCGGAGCCTTCAGACGCAGCCAGGGCCTGGGTCATGTGACCAAGGTGGCAGGGGGGTCACACTGCCCTGGGGGAGGCCTGTCAGCAGAAGAGGACGGCCCCAGACCCTCTGGGTAAGTAGACCCGGCGTAGTAAGGTTGCAGACCCCGGCGAGGGGTCTGGAGAAGGGCCGCAGCCCCTGAGGGTCCTGGTCAGCCAAGGGCAGCTTGCAGGGAGCAGGAGCCTGGGGCTCCCTGTGGGTGGGGGCTGGCGACGGGCAGGCACGTGCCTCGTGCTGGCAGTGACCCCTGCCCCCTGCGGGACCGAAGTCAGAGCTTGTCTAGGCAGAGGACCCAAACCCTCCTTACGGCTCCTAGGAGGACGGCTTGCTTGGGGGCCCAAGGTCAGCGGCTGGGGCCACGCCCACATCTGGGCCACTGGGGAGGGGCCGGGGCCTCAGAGAAAGGCTGGGCCTGGGGGTGGAGAGGCCAACACTTCCAGGCTGAGTGCCTGGGCACTGGCATTTTGTGGGACCCCTCCAGGTTCAGCGTCCTCCCCCGCAGGGGCTGCTCAGAGCTGGCCTGGGGGCGGCGTTCTGATGCCACAGGAAGTCTGAGCCTGGGCTCTGCTGGCGCTGGGCTTCCTGGAGGGCGCAGAGGCTGGCCCCTCTGGGGTCCCTGCCCCGACCGGCGAGTGAGGGCCTCCCCAGCGCCACTGCGGAGCCTCTCTCCTCCCCAGGCACCGAGCACAGTGTCGGGCAGGGGTTCTGGCCACCACAGAGGGGTTCCTGGAGGTGACCCGAGCCGGCCAGGATGGGCTGAGTGTGTGGTGTTGTCTCTGTGGGGCTCGGGGTCTGGCCAGGTGTCTCCTGCTGGACTTCCTGTCGCCTCCAGGCTGTCTCTTGGGGGCCCGGGCCAGACAGCCCCTGCCAGTCAGACGTGACGGAGGCTTCCCGCTCCTGCCCTGGGCAGGGGCCTCGGCCGCAGGACGGGGCACGCTGTCTTGATTCTAGCCCTTTTTGGTTTCCTGGCAGCTCTCACAGCACAGAGGGTGGGCCTCTCATTCAAAGTGCTCCGGAGCGGATGCCACTGTCCCCTTCTTGCAGCTTGGCCATCTGCCGTGCTCGCTGGCGGGAAGTCCCTCCCAAGGGCAGGCCCCAGTCTCCCCTGCCCCAGAAGGCAGCTTTGGAGTGGAAAAGGTCTCAGTCACCGTGAGCCACCATCCTTGCTGCCCACACGCGTCCCCGCTGCTGAGGCCACCAGCTGCATGGCCAGAGGACTGGGTGGCCTGGGTCTTGCTGACCCCAGGCAGCATCTGTGCATCTGGTGGGGTGAGGCTCTGGGGTCTCTGCAGGACCCACCAGCCACCTCTGTCTCGGCCACCTTCTCCTTTGGGGGGCAACTGGGGTGCTTGATGAGCAGCAGGCCAGTGGCTGATGCTGGGGGTTCTGGGTGGAGCTTCCTTCTGCAGCCTTCCCTTTGAGTACTCCCGTGTGAGGAGGCACCCCTTTTTTACAGAGACAAACTGAGGCCCCGGCCCCAACTGTCACTGCCTGTGCTCTGCAGGTGTGGGTGGGCGGGTGCCAGACACACTGTGTTCGAAGCCCTGGGTGCCGGGGGGTGGCCCCCCTTGCGTCACTTTCCCCAAGCTAAAAATAGCTGGCCCCGCCCTGCTCGGGGGAGCACTGAGGAGGAGGACAGGAGTGGAGGCGAGAGGCTCAGATGTTTTCTGGATGCGGCAGCAGGAGGCAGAGCCTGGGGACCACCCGCCTCCAGGAAGGAAGCAGTGATGTGCAGGCAGAGCAAGTGGGCTGGATTCCCAGGGGCTGACTCGCCCGGTGGCGGGCTGAGGAACAGTGAGCAGTCAGGCTCTCCCAGGGCCCAGGGCAGTCCGGCAGCCGCCACTCAGACCCGGTCCTGGGGTGCTGGAGGTGCCAGACTTGGGCAAGCGTGGCTGCCCACCCGCCCTCCGCCCTCCCAAGGTCATGGCTGGGCCTGCAGGTGCTCGGTGTCCACTGTCAGGGGTCGTGCGGTCAGTCAGCCCGGCCTGAGAGGCAGGCGGGGCTGCCTCTGTGGTAAGGGTGCAGAGCGGGGGTTGGAGCACAGCCATGTGGCCGTGAACGGGGATGGCCCCTACGGGTCTGTCCAGGCTGACGGCCACCGTCTGCCTCACGGTCCATAGGCAGCATCTATCCTGGCACAACCCGTAGAGGACGCCCCAGTCTGGGACGTAGCCCTGTCCTGAGCTGCCCCTTGAGGGTCTGTGGTGGGCAGTGCACTGGCCCACCCAGCCTACCACTCCCCAGACATCCGCTGTCCCACCTGCACCTGTCTGCCATCTTCCTGCCCCTCCAAACACTCCTGCATGGCAGATGTGAGGTGGAGGGACCTCCAGATGCAGCTGTCTGGGAACAGTACCGTCCCCTCCAGACCCCCACTGTGGCCTGGTCCTGGGCCTGACTGCCCCTTTGCCTGCTTCAGCCCCACTCCCACGGCAGGGTGGCCAAGCGCTGCCTCCCCCAACTCCTAGGGCCAGGGAGGGGACCGTGGGAGCGGAAAGGGAGCCTCAGTGTCACGTCCACTGCTGCATAATGTCCCTATTCATGGGCAGGGTGGAAAATTCGGTCGGGAAACAGGGGAAGTATTTTTACGAGAATGGTTCTCCCTATGGGCAGGGGCTGGGCAGGCTTGCTAATGGCAAACTCCACCTGGCAAAAGTTCCTGCGGAGACCCGACACCAGGTGCCCAGGACTTGACTCTCAGGGGCCCTGGGCCAGTTGGGTCACTGATGGGCCGCGCGGGGGGCCTCTGTTGAGTGGGCAGAACTCTTGAGAACTGGGGCCCCGGCCGGACTGGGCCGGTCCTTTGGGAGGTGGCGAGTGGGAGAGTCGGCTCCTAGTGGTGCGTGACGCAGGGCGGGGCTCACGCCGGCCGCCGCGGTCACCCTTTATCTGGGCCTTTCTCTGGATGGCACACACCCACTCGACTGGAAGCCCCTTGGCCCTGAGTGTTGGGGTGAAGAGACTACGGGGTCGGCACCCGGGACCACTTCGGGCAATGTCTGCCCCCGGCACTTCCCGCCGGGCGGGGATCCGGCCGAGAGACGCCAGGGAGGGTGAAGGAAACCTGACTACACCTGCGGAGGGGCTCGGAGTACATCCCCGCGGAGCTGCCCGCCGGCGCGCACGCGCCGACTGTTCCCACCTCCCGCGGCGGGAGGCCCCGCCCCGCGCAGCTTCCCGCCAGTGCGCACGCGCCAAGTCCCCACCTCCCGCGGCGGGAGGGAGCAACGAGACGGTAGCTAAGTCCTCCCGGCCGCCTAGAGCGGCCGCCTCAGCGAGCAGCGCACCGGAATCGGAAATGAGGATGGCTCCGCTTCGCGAGCGGCCATCTTGGAAGCTGAAGAGGTTGAGGCGGCTGAGGCGGCGGCAGCGGTGGCGGCCCTGCGGCGGTGCTGCTGTTCCGCGCGGGCCCCACTCTTCGCTCCCTGCTCCAGCCTCGACCACGGCGATCCTGAACGCGGCGGCGGCCCACGCGCGGCGACGGGAAGAGGTAAGTGCGCGCCGCGGACCTGCGCCGGCTCCTCGGCCGCGCGTCCCACTCGTCGGAGCCGGCTCGAGTGGGGCCAGGGGACGCGGGGCCTCGGGGCCCCTAGACAGTCCGTTCCCGTCCGATTGGCCGCTCGCGGGCTCCGGCCCGGAGCTTCCGTGCGCAGAACCCGAGGTCGGTTACGGCGGGGCGCCCGGGGATGGTCCTGCGGCCCACTTGGGCGTGTAGCCGGCCGGCACGGTGGGTCTCCCGCAGAGAGGACCTGCTGGCGGCGCCCTGCCGGGCCCTTCCAGGACGTGCCGGCGGCGGTCTTGGGGTGGGACCGGGTGCCGGGAGTCCGTTGGGCTGGGGGCGGAAGCCTGCGGTCGCTTCGCCCTCAACAGTTGGCACCGCGAACTGCTTCCCAAGTCCCCGGCGAGGGAGGGTGCCCGGGCTTGTGCCCCCGGGGGTGACAGCCGGGGGGACGTTGGGCCGGCGAGGGGGGAGGCGGGGTCGGCGACTCCGTCCCGGCAGCGGGGGTGGGACTCGGGCCCTCGACCACTCCTCGCCCGCAGCCCCCTC